GTCCCCTTTTGCCATGATCTTGCTCTGTACTGTGTGGTCATCTAATCCCAGAACTATGTGGTCTCGCATAGCTTCTTCTAGGTCTGAAAAACCACAGAGGCCTCCCAGGTTTCTAAGGTCAGCGATGAAGTCTGCAATACTTTCACCCTTCTGCTGATCCCGTTGATAAAATTCGTGTCTCCAGACCAACGTTGGTACGGCGGGGGCATAGTGAGCCCGTAGGATAGGTTCGAGGTTGTCCCAATCCATTGATTTCACTTCAGCCGGTTTCGCGAGCGCCTTCGCCATCCTAAAAACGGCTGGTCCACAATGGGTCAAGAACACCGCCCGCTTCTTTCCAGGTGTTGCGTCTTTCAAATTGTTGGTTTCTAGAAACATTTGAAACCGATCCATATACGACTCCCAGTCTTCCTTTTCCGGGTCAAAAGGAGCCGGTGGTATAGCGCCACCTGACATCCTGCCGATGTAGATGCGCTCTCAGCCACGTGCTTCGGTTGGTGCTCTGTAGGGTTTAGTCAGCTCTTTTGTCTCCGTATCCCATCCTCGTCGCCAGTGTTAAGTTTGAGGCATGGGTTTAATGAACGGAGACCAAACTGTCAACCTTGAACTTCAGCTCTTTATTCACAAGCATAACAGAGACAAAAAAAAACCCGGCTAGCAGTCACTCTTTTATAGGGTAAGCTGCTATCCGGATAACCAATGGATAGTGTTATAGCATTTGAATCTTGGCGCGGCCCGCCAACAGCCAGTCAGATTGCTCGGAATGAACCAATCGTAACTTGCCATTATATGGGCCAATAGGACATGCAGGATTACGATCCTGCTAGGCAAATGAATCTTTATTAATTACATTTCTTTAGTTCACAACAGTAGACATGTTTAGAGCTTCAGCAGACAACTCAGGAGCTCAGAAACAGACATCAGTTTCATTTTAGTTCAGCAGGCAAGCATTATACAAAGCAGAGGAGAGAAGCAGTTTCATTTCAATAGACAGACTCAGAGCTTAACATAGTTGTAGAGTTTAACATAGAGCCACGCCTAGACTACTTCTAGTTTCAGTTTCCAGCCTAGGCTAATTCTAGTTTCAGTTTCCAAAAATGTCCTCATTGGCTGACTTAGTTGCTGTGCCTATTCATTGGCTGACCTTGTTACCATGCTCTATTCCAGTTCATGGATATACTCTGACAATTCTTACCGCAATTAATAAGTGTAATAACATATGTATTTAATCTTTTTCTTGTGTTTCTTTTTAAATATTCCTACTATGAATAACTCAGGTTCAAAATCACCACATGTGGTAGAAAGTGCCTTGTGCTTTTTTACATTTCCAGCATGCCGGGTTCATGTTGGGATACATTTTCGCTAATCTCATTGGGGGTAGGTGTCATTGGTAGAATATCTTATAGATATTTTCTTTGTAGGCCGATGATCTTGTTAATTTATAATTTTGGTTCCAAATTTCCCCCCAATCTTCTAGATCTATATTATGTCCTATATTTTTGGCCCATGCTATCATACAACCTTTCACTATTTCTTCTTCTAAATCAACCTCTAATAAGTATTTATACAGTTTGATTATACATTTCTCCTCAGGGTCTGTTAGAATTTTGTCTAATTGTTGCAATTCTGTATAAATTCCATAGTCTTCTACATCTTTTTATATCTATTTTGCAGTTGGCGGTCCAGGCACCAGTCTATGGCTATTCCTTGTTCTTTGAGTTCCTGATTTGATTTTAACTTCCCCTGATTATCTAAAACTTCTTTATATTTCGCCATTTTACTTATATCCAAATTATTGGGATGTATCATGGCTTCCATTGCAGATAACCATATTGGAATTTTCATGCAATATCTCTTTCTAATGTTATTCCAAATTTGTATCAGGGAATCTCTTATGAAGTGTCTATGGAAATAGGTTTGTTTCTTAATTTCCTTTTCCCATAGGAAGGCATGCCATCCTCTTTGTAAGTCATGGCCCTCCAGGCTTAATATCTTTTTATTGTTTAAATTAACCATTCTTTAATCCAGGTCAAAGCTGCTGCCTTATAGTAAAGCTCCCAATCCGGGAATCCAAAGCCACTTCTGCTTCTACTATCCTGTAGCGCTTTCAACTTTATTCTGGGGTTTTTCCCTAACCATATAAATTTTACCATAATCTTATTCATATCTGTAAAAAAAATTCTCTAAGTTTATGAGGATTGTTTGGAATAAATATAAAAATTTAGGTAAGATATTCATTTTGATCACTGCAATTCTCCCTAATAATGATATTTGTAACTTCCCCCATAATTCCACATCTATCTTTGTTGTAGAAGTTTCATATAATTATTTTCTTTTATTGTTATACATTTTGCAGTTAACCATATTCCTATTTAATTTTGTCATTTGAAGCCCCATTACTCTTTCTAATTCTTTTTTTCTGTTCTTCTGTCAAATTCGTAGTTAACATTTTAGTCTTTTGTCTATTGATTTTAAGGCCTAATACTTCTCCATATTTCTCTAGATCTTAATTAATATATATCCTGTCTCTATAGGATCTTCAGTAAAGAATACCATGTCATCTGCAAAAGCTTGGAATTTATATTCCTCTTTTTTAACTCTAGTTCCTTTTATGCCCACATTCTGTCTAATTCGAATTAGTAAAATTTCTAGCATCAGAATGAAAAGCAGAGGCAAGAGCGGACAACCCTGCCTTACCCCTTTCATTATTTTAAAAGTCTCTGTATTCTCACCGTTTAATAAAATACAGTATTTGCCTTTTGGGTAGAATATATTGCTTTTATCATATTCTCAAATTTATATCCTAAATTCATATTTTTAATTTGTTGCATCATAAATTGCCAATTCAGATTGCCAAATGCCTCTGTGCATCCAGAAAAAACAAGTGCCACTTGTTTTTCTGGAGGGGCCTTGTAATATTCCAAAATATCCAATATTATTCTTGTGTTGTTTCTAATTTGCCTTAATGAGAGAAATCCATTTTGATCTGGGTATATTCATTTAATAATCTTTTCAATCTATCTGCTATTATACTTGTGAATATTTTGTAATCAACGTTCATCAATGATATTGGTCTATAATTTTAGATTTGTCTACTGTCCATACCCTCTTTTGGTATTAATGAAATATATGCTTCCCTCCATCAACCCAGCAATTTGGCTTCTGTCAATAACTCATTGTACAGTTCTAGCATTAGTGGTTCAATCTGTTCACCCATCATCTTGTATATTTCCCCTGGTAGCCCATCTGGACCTGGAGTTTTATCACTTTTCTGCTTTTTGACTGCTTGTTTCAATTCTATTATTGATATTTCTTTGGATAGAATCTTCTTCATTTCTTCTGTTATTGGTGGAATCCGTTCCCCTTTTAAATAATCTATTATTTTTTCTTCCTCTATTTCTTCATTTTTATACAGGCCCTCAAAGTACTGATGCGCAATTCTTTTTTTCCCTTCCATCTTATGTTGAAATTCTCCATTTTCATTCTGAAGTTGGTGCATAATCCTCTTCTCTTTTTTTAATCTATGAGATAACCATCTCCCCAGTTTATTGGCTTGCTCAAAGGAGTTTTGTTTTACTGCTTTTAAGCTCTTTACCATTTCTTCTTGTTCTAAAATATTGAGTTTGTGTTTAATTTAAGTCAATTCCCCTTTAATTTTAGTATTCTGTGGTATTTTCTGAAGTTGGCTTTCTAGGTAATTTCTTCTTGTAATGTACTCTGTTGTTTCCACTTCTCTTTATTTCTTTTTGATGTATATGATATTATAATTCCACATGAGTAAGCCTTCATGGTGTCCCGAAGATTTTGTATTGATGTGTGTTGTTTTGTGTTCTCTTTGAGTCCCTGTTCCTTCATAAACATTTGGGTGAATTCCTTTTCTTTTATTATTTTGGATTTAAAGTCCATCTTCTTGTTTTCTGTTGGCCTCTCCAAATTATTTTATGTGGATTGTGATCTGCCCAAGTGTTCAGTAGTATTCCAATCTTCTCCACTTCTTTTCCTATCTCTCCATTCATCCAGGCCATATCAATTCGGGACCAAGATTGGTATGGATTAGAGTAAAAAGTAAATTGTTTTTTATCTAAGTTCAATTGTCTCCATGCATCTATTAAATTTAATTCTGCTATCATCTTGAAACATGATTTTGGTAATATTTTCTTTTTCTTTCCATTTTTCTTATCACTCACATAGTCCTTTTTACTGTCCACTATTGCAGATGTTCCTCTGTCCCATTTCTATAATTCTTTCATATAACTTTTTATAAAAATCTTTTTGATTTTCATTTGGTACATATATTACCACTAATGATAATGGCTTCTGGGCTATCCATATTTCAGTCATTACAGAATTCTTATAGGTACAGTTATTTTGTCTTTTTAAAAATTTGTCCCTCTCAAAAGAAATACCATGAGAATGTGTTGGAAAACAAAACATTGAAATAGCTCTTGGGACAGTGAACTTTAACTGATTTTATTTGACACTCTGAATGATGCATTGATCAAATTGCTTATTTCAATGACTGATTCATACTTTGACCACTCCTATTACAGATGCATTGTTAAATGTTATCTGTCAGAAATTGGCAAAGGGGGAAGGCTTGGAGGAAAATTAGGAATTTCAAGTTCATCTTACTCTGGAATTCATCATCTATCCCAAAGGATTATATATATGCACTTGTAAAATGTGTGTGTGTGTGTGTGCGACTGTGTTTGTGTGTATACATACATACATGCAATCAGAAATGGAACACAGATCTTCTATGAGAGAAAGAGGGAGGGAGAGGGAGAGGGAGAGGGAGGGAGAGGGAGAGGGAGAGAGAGAGAGAAAGAGAAAGAGAGAGAGAGAGAGAGAGAGAGAGAGAGAGAGAGATTGCAGGTTTCCACATCAGGTATTTTTATGGGTGTATAACCTCACAGTTTAATATACTAGATGTGAGGCTATAACTTGTAAGCATGAAGTTTCTGTGCCATTTTTCTAATTTTCTGAGTTTATTGTTTCAGTTTACGTGCTGAATTTACAATCCATGATTCTCCAATTAATCAGCTGCATGGCAGCGCAAACACGAATGAGGCTACAAAGGAATTACAATTCTTCTTTCCTGTAGAAAACACTATGGCTCTCATTAAACCCTCTGCTTTTGAAGACAAAGGTAAGATTAATATTACAAAGTGTTCATGTTTTTCTTTTTGCACATTTATATTAATTTCCTGTAAAATAAGTTATACCATTATAAAATTATTTCATCCATATCTGCATATATCAACAAATATCCTCCTCACACAGTAATACACATAAACATATTATCCTCACTTTACTTATCAGCAGCAGTGAGAAAATGAAGAGAACATACAAAGTAAGAGGAAAAGGTAGCTATCCTGGGAACAGAAGGAAAAATAAAATGGTAGAAAAGTGGATGTGTAAAAGGCAAAGGGAAGAGGCAACTGGACAGAGTAAAAAGACCAAAAAAAAGATACTAAAGCCTTGTTTATGCATTACAGGTAGTTCTCGACTTATGACATGTCACTTATTGATCATGTCAAATTGATACGGACTCCCCCAAAGCTACTTCCAACCCAGTTTGAAATTCCAGCAATTCCTCCTACCCCTGTGTTCATGTGATTGCATTTTGGGCATTTGGCAACCAATCCACAATTACATCCATTTACAGTTCCCATAGTTTAAAAAAACACCCATTGAGTAAAATGTGTTTGCTTAACAACCACAGTTTTGACTGAACAAAGTGACATTCACTATGTGACCGCAGCATTCACATAGCAATCACAGCAAAAAAGTCATAAAATTATGTGAGGTCACATAGTGACCGTTTGACTGGGACAATTTAAAATTGTAATTTCAGGCTCACTTACAGTTGTAAGTTATCAACTAACCATACAGAGTTAATCTTAACTAGGCAAGCAGCCACTTCCATGCAAAAGGCTAATCTCCAGCCAGAGGCATCTGCAGGGGAGTTCTTAAAACCTCAAGATGGTAGCTTCATATTAAGGGCTTCAATTGCACTATTCTGGTTGCCATCTTAAGTTTTTTTTTCCTCATACAAACCCTCAAACCATATTTTCAGCAGCCAGGTCTGTAGTAATTTTCTGCCCATTATTTTGTAACTTTTTTCTTATTCATAAATGTAAAAGGTCTCAATTCACAGCTATCATTTGGGAATAATATTTTCAGGTAAACAAAAATTCTGTAACTAGCAGGAAAATAAAATTTCTTTTTGACAGTTTTTATACAACTGAACATATTTCATAGATCAATACTATACAATACTACAGTATACTTTTAAGACTAAAATAGTGGAATGTTGATGTCCCCCTCTTCTTCTAGATAAAATTATAAATAAAGTAAAAGATGCTGGATTTCTAATCTCAGAATTGAGAGAAGCACACATAAGTCCTGAGACAGCAGCACAATTTTATCAAGATCATGAAGATAAGCCATATTATAATCAACTAGTGGATTTTATGTCAAAGTAAGTGCCCGTTTTTTTAAAAAAAACTAGAACAAAATTTGATGAAAGCAGAACTGATTTTGAATTTGTCAGACAAAAATATTTACCAGGCTGGCATTAAGATACCAAAGAAACAGATAATTTCTTTTGCATCATTTTAAGAGAATATAGAGTTGGAAGGGACATAGGAGGTTTTCTAGTCCAAACCCCCGCCAACCCCATTCAAGCAAGAAACTCTATGCCATTTCAGACAAATGGTTGTCCAATCTCTTCTTAAAATCCTCCTGTGATGGAGCACCCACAACTTCTGAAGGCAAGCTTTTCCCACTGATTAACTGTTTTAACTGTCAGGAAATTTGCCCTTATTTCTAGGTTGCTTTTCTCCTTGATTATTTTCCATCCATTGCTTTTTGTTCTGTCTTCAGGTGCTTTGGAAAATAGCTTGACTCCCTTATCTTTGTGGCAACTCCTGAGATACTGGAACATTGATATCATAGCACTCCAAGTCCTTCTTGTCATTAAACATACCCATTTCTTGCAATTGTTCTTCATAAGTTTTAGTCTCCAGTCCCCCAATCATCTTTATTGCTCTTCTCTGCCCTCTTTCTAACATTTCAACTTATTTTTTATACCATGGTGACCAAAACTGGATGCAATATTCCAAATGTGGTCTTATCAAGGCATTATAAAGTGGTACTAACACATTTCATGATCTTGATTTTATTCCTCTGTTAGGAGATGACCAAAAGGCCACTAGAGGCCATTTTACATAATCAGCATATTGAATTGATGAATTATGAAAAACTCTTGAACAAATGGAAAGTCTGTGAAGTCCCTGAGCAAAAACATTGAAAATAAACCAATACTTTTGTTTCAAAAGCATCTTTTAATCATTAGTATCTAAGTTCTCTCTGCTATTTCTAGTGACATTTTTGGTCATTTCCAGTGACATATATATCCTTAATGATATTTCATTATGATTGAAAGAAATATTATAAATTATTCAGAGTATCAATCAAAACCAAAGTGGAAAAAATCAAGCTCGAAATGCCAGCTGTATATTTTTAAGTAATGTGCAACTACACACCTTGTCAATAATTGCTGATGTCTCCCACATCTAATTATATCAATGCAGCAACTCTCCTACCCCAAGAATATATATAGCTGCAGTAAGTAATTCAAATGTCAGGATTCCGGCAGTTACTTCAATTAAATCATGAGCCACGAGTCACATTCCCAAAATTAAAAAAGATTTATTTGAAGGTAACATTCTACATCCGGCATTTACCTAGGCATAGCCAACTCTGAGATATGTAATTCACTGTCACCCTTGATCCTGCTTCCCCCCGCCCCCCGGGTTTCATCCAATGAAAAACGTCTATAGCCAAGAGTCATCAATCATGCTCTCCAATTAGATTTTCATGCCAGAAACTTCAGTCATCTAATTAGTGTTTGAAGAAAATATGAATGGAATGTACTTTTGATTCCACTCTGGCATCTGCTCTTTGAAACTCCCCCCCTTCTTTCAGTTGTCAACTATAAAATGTGTATACAAAATGTTTAATGAGTTGACATTCGTATCCCCTCACTTCTTGAAGGTGACCTGTACAACACACACAAAAACAAATTGTTTGCAGTTATGGAAGCTTATGATCACGAAAACCCCACAGGCTTGGTTGGATTTTCTGCATGAAACCTTACTACAAGGTGATCGGCTTGGATGTTCCTACTCTTTACCCATGATACCTTTGATAAGAGGTAGCCCTTCCACTTGATTAAATATTGGAGTTGTCTCCTATGCCACCTCAAATCGAGATTCGCTGCACCACATAATGGGTTTGGCCTCCTATCACCACGGAATCTGGGGGCTCATGAGGAAGGGGCCTCAGTGTTGATCCAACCACAGGTTTTAACAGGCTACTATGGAATACCAGGTGTATTTTCCCTAACAATTGGGGCAACTTCAATTGCACCATGACTGGGTTGATGATCTTTACTATGGGGAATGGTCCCATGAACTTTGACCCAAATTTCTTGCTAGGGAGTCTTAACCTCACACATTTGGTGGAGAAATAGACCTTCTCCCCCATCTGGAATGGTCATTGTAGGGCTCAGTGTTTGTCTTCCTGTCTCTAATAGGTCTGTGCTGCTTTTGCCAGTGCTTTTTTGACATTCTCCCAAGTTGCTTTCAGCGTTGACATCCATCGGTCAGGCTGACTGAGGAGGAGGGGGTCGCTTGGATACTCAGACATTGGGACAAAGTACATGCTGCTCATTACCTTGCAGGGGGTTAGTCCCATGCTACTGTGAACAGCATTATTGTACACGACCTCCACGAAATGCAGGAGGTCCGCCCAATTGGACTGCTGATAATTTATGTAGCACCTCAGATACTGCTCTACCATGGCATTCAATCTCTCTGCCCACCCACTGGTGCTTGGATGAAAGGCCGAGCTAAAACCCTAGGATGACCCAATAGGCCGCAGAAACTCCCTCCAAAATTTGGCTGTGAATTGGACCCCTCTGTCTGAGATAATTCTCTGTGGTACTCCATGCAGGCAGTAGATGTGCTTCAGGAACAGCTTGGCTAACTGGCGGGCTGAGGGTAGTCCGCTGCAAGGTATGAAATGTGCCTGTTTGGAAAATAAGTCTATTACAGTCCAGATCACCGTGTTTCCCCCACTTTTCAGCAACTCCACTATGAAGTCCATTGCAATCTCCTCCCATGGCCCCGTTGGCTCCGCTCCGTTTGTAGCAGTCCAGGGGTTTTCTTGGTAGTTTTTTCATCACAGTGCAGATGGTGCAACTTTTCACATAACTGTCCATGTCTTTCTTTATGCCAGGCCACCAGAACTGCCTCTGAGCCAAGTGTAAAGTCTTTAAGAACCCAAAGTGGCCTGCCAATTTGGCGTCGTGGCTCCTCTGAAGAACTAGGGTGCGTAAGGATTCCGGGACGTAGAGTTTTGTCCCCTTTCACACCAGGTTATCTCTTTTTGTCAAAGTGTGTTGATTGTTCCAGAACCAGGGGTCTGCTAGCAGTTTGATTTTGAGTTTTGTGGTTAGGTCATCTGTGGGTTGATCTTGCTAATCATGGCATTGTCATCTGGTGGTTACTTGGGCAGCTATTTGGGTAGGGGGGATGATGGTGTTTACAACCTCCTTCCTTTCGCATTTGTACTGGGGCATGTGGAAGAGGGTGTCAGCCAGAAAGTCCCCCCCCCCGGGATGTGTTTTAGCACAAAGTCAAATAGGTTGAAGTATTGAGCCTATCAGACTTGTTTGGGTAATAGTTTTCACAGGGTCCTAAGAGCTTCCAGGTTTTTATGGTCAGTCCAGACTTTGAATGGTCCCTTCCAGCAGGTAGTGCCAGGTTTGCAGTGCCCATCTCACTGCGAGAGCCTCTTTTTCTCATGAAGCCCATCATCTCTCTGTGACCGTGAGCTTGTGGGAGGTGTAGGCGCAGGACTGTAGGCTTCCTTGGTTGTTTCCTTGGAGTAACACTGCTCCCACTGCCATGTCACTGGTGTCTGCTTGAATGATGAAGGGTTGTTCGGGGTGAGGATGCTTCAGTACTGGTTCTTTTGCAAACAGTTCTTTCAGTGTTTCAAATGCTTTTTGGCATGGTTAGGTCCCACTGTAGGGGTTGTCCTGGGTGGGGTTCGTTCCTGGGCTCCCTGTCTTTAGGAGATCTGTCATGGGTTTGGCAATCCTCATGAAGGAGGGGATGAATTGTCGATAAAAGTTTGTGAACCCTAAGAAGCTTTGTAGCTGTCTACGGATGTGAGGGGGCTACCAGCCTAGGACGGCTTGTACTTTGGCTGAGTCCATCTCTATTCCCTCATTTGAGACTCAGTAGCCCAGGTAGTCCAACTGTGCATGGTGAAATTCACATTTCGACAGCTTGACATACAGGTTTGCTACTAGTTTTTCCAGTATTTGGTGGACTAAGGGTATGTGGTTGTCCATCATCTCAGTGTAGATGAAAATGTCAGCCAAATAGACAAGAACCCCCTTATAACGATGTTCATGTAGCACCTCATTTATTAATTGCATGAACACTGCCGGGGCCCCTGTAGTCAGAAAGGCATGACCTTGAATTGGAAGCTCCCTAGGGGGCAGTTGAGTGCTATTCTCCATTCATCTCCCTCCCTGATGCAGACTCGATAGTTTGCTTCTCTGAGATCTAATTTGCTAAGGATCTTCCCTTTGGCCAGGTGGGATAGCATGTTCTCCATGAGTGGGAGGGGGTATGGATTGTGTACGCACAGTCCATTGATCACTCTAAAGTCCACACATAATCTCATAGTTCCATCTTTTTTTTCTTTGAACAGGACTGGCGGTACAACCCATGATTTGGCTGGCTTGATGAACCCTCTTGCTAAGTTTTTGTCTATATATGTGCACATTTCTTGCATTTCCCAGGGCGTCATGGCGTACATTTTGGGTTTTGGTAGTTTTACCCCAGGAATGATTTCTATGGCACAGTCTGTCTCACAGTGGGGAGGTAGGATGTCACACTCAGTCTCACGGAATACTTCAGTGAGGACTTGATATTCTCTTGGGATCTGTCCAACCTCTGGGGTTTTGTCGGAGGTGGCTGCCAGTTGTTCTGGTGAACCCTCTGGAAGGGTTCTCTGTGTGGCCGGTGCTTCTATTTGATGGTGAGGAACGGGTTGGGGTCCCTTCACTATCCTCAGTCTGTGGCTTCCCCCTTGCCATCAGATGGTTGGACCCCACTTGTCTAGCCAGGAAAGCCCCAGGATGACTGCATCTGTCATTTTGGGAGCCACTACGAATCAAATGGTTTCCCAGTGATCTGCTAGTTCTAGTCTCACTGGTTCAGGTTAAGTGAGTGGCATAGGTTCCTTCCAACAGGGAGCCATCTACTTGTTCGAACCGGATCAGGTGGGTCAGCTTTTTTGCTCTGATCCCCAGTTTCAGGACCATGGTTAGGTTGATCAGGCACCTATTGCAGCCTGAATCTATTAGGATCAAGGGTGACAGTGAATTACGTAGCTCAG